GCACAAAATAGAGACACAGTGTTCTGTTGTCCAGAGCTCCCTGACAGCACAAAGAAGGGAGTAAAATCCAGAGGAAAACATCAGCCAGCTGGGCAGTGAGGGGAGGAGGGGAAGGAATCTGACACAGTTTTGTAGAGGGAAAGAGTCAACCCTGACAGGCAAAGAAGTGGCCTGTGAGAAAGGTGCCGTCTGTGAAACCGGGCCTTCCTAGGACCAGGTCGGGGATGTTCACGGGGAGACCGAGGAGGAAGTTGGATGCCCCTTACCTGAACTTATGTCCAGAGGACAGAATATCACCAGCCTCACTCCACAACCTTTAGTTTGCATCTGAGACTGCCGAGCTCTGTCTGCAGAGGGCGCTCCGTTCACCATGCCTGACTTGGGAGGCAACTAATTGCAGGGCGGGAGCTCTCCACGGTGCTGATTCATAGCCGGGCTGACTTTAGGAAACTCGCCCTTAGCGCCGTGGACCCAAATTCGAGGTCACAAGGTCCTGAGGCTCAAGTCAGCAGAGGAGCTGAGCCAGAGGGCTTCAGAAAAGCAGGGTCCTTCTTGGAAAGGAGCTAGGGGAGAAAGTGGGAGTGGGAAGGCCATCTCTGCTTACCTTCTCACCCTTCTTGTTGCTCTCAGTTCATTCTTTAGAACTTGTGGTGACAAGGAAGGGACAGGAAGAAAGAGGTATTTTTCTGAAGTTTTGTATTACACTGATGTTTCTGGTCCCCAGGTTACACTTAAGTTGTAAGTTAAGTTGCAGGAGATTAAGAAAGAGAGGGATGTTCGCTGGAGCTCCCTGAGTGCCAGGCCCAGGCTGTGTCTTTGTATATATTGCTCCATCTGACTCTCACCATCAATATGAGAGAGGTTGGTTAATAATTCTTATTTGAGGCAGGCATAGTGGCACACATCTGTAGCTCAGTGTGAAGACCCTGGGTTCAATTTCCAGAGTCACACACAAACACAGACTCCTACTTCATTTGACAGAATGAAAAACCAAGACTTGACATGGTAAGTTACCTTCACAGGATCTCTCACATCATTGGTGCATATTTGGACATGGAATTGCAACCACTCTTACCTGGTAAAATAGAGAGAGTGCTCCTGGATCACCTTGCTACTGGATCACAAGAGAAACCAGAAGATCAGAAGATAAAGATTGGGAAAGTTTTCCATCTAAAAAACATGGGCCAACAGACCATACTCTAGGAATGGCGGTGGCAGCAGAGTAGGAGAGGTGCCCAATGGAAGGGAATCTACAGGTTTGAGGTCAAGTCTCCAAGGACCGTCTCCTGACGCTTACATTCCCACTGGTCCAGGGCACTCTATTTCCAGTGGACACAGAATGCTTACTATTACCGAGGAGTGGTCACTCCGCACGTTCCACTGCAAGGTCCCGAGAGGAGGAATTGCCCAGTGAATTTCTACATGTCATAGGGGAGCTACCAAGCTAGTCAGCCACCACTGACAGTTAAGATCTCAGGGTGAACTACAGAGAGAACATAGCTTTTGGGGACTATTAGGTCAGCTGTGGAGGAGACTGAGAAAGAAGCTGAGTGTCTAACTAGAGTGTGTAGGGATCAAGGATAATAACAAGAAATATTGGTAAAATGTGTTCACTTCCTACCCTGGGCTGGAAACTGTGAGCTGTTAGCATGTTGCATGTTTCCTGATTGCAACCAAGATGTAGAAATTTGATTTACAAAATAAACTGTATTGTGAGAACTACTTGAGACAGTCATTAAATGTTGAGACTTGCTGTAGGCACACACTGCACCCAGGGCTGGCCTGGCACTGACATCAGAGTGAATCTGGTCTGGGGTGGAGCCTCAGTGTCTTCATCTGTAAATTTCAGTGGACACCATCGCCCTGAGGGACCCTGGGAGCTTCAGTGGGGTGGGTGGGGCACTGGGGACCTGGGATCCTGGGTTGCTCCACTTCTACCGGGAGTAACTTCCTTCCAACATTCACCTACCCTAGCTGCTCCTCCCTTAACTATTTCAGGCCCCACCAGGCCTCTTGTTTTGGGTCTTTCTGATTTGCAGGACTTTTCCCTGCATCCCCCTAACCCATAATTTCTCACTGCTTTTGTACTTTGCAGCTACTGATTCTGTCTGAAATGTCCTTTGTCAAAACATTTTCAGTTTTGATGTTGCCAGTTCTGTCCAGATATTGGGTAAGAATGAGCTAAATGAGCTAGTTTTGGTCATATTGTCTTAAAATTATTTTTCTTCAAAATTTTCAATGAAAGATGACTATCGGAATATCAGCTATTTCCTAGCTTGGAATATTTTCATGTATTTTTGCTATGAAAAATATCTTTACCATTCACAGTGTGTAATTGTCTCTCAGTTCAAGAAATAGAATGTGAAGGCACCCAGCACCTTAGGACACTCTTTGTTTCCCATCCAGTCCAATCTTCTTTGTGAGTTACCCGGCCATGTTAAGGTTTGGGATCGTATTTTTTTCCTGCCTTTGCCTGTAAGCATAATACTTGTGTGCATATCCTTAAATGAAAATTAGTACTTTATCATTTCCTATAGAGTGATGTAATAATGTGTTGTTGTTTTTTTGAGACAAGGTCTTTCTCTGTAATTCAGGCTGGCCTTGAACTCTTGGCTATCCTCCTGACTCAGGCTCCTGAGTGGTGGCATTACAGGTGTGCACCACCACACTGGTAATGTGTATTTTGAATTACCAAGTACAATACACTAATTTTTCTTTTCGTGAATGTTGACATAATATACAATTTTTTTCCTTTTTCCTTTTTGCCTTCCTTGTTGTTACACTTCAAGTGCATGTGTCTTGAAGACCATGTAAAGATGGTCCCTGACATTTCAGGGTTTGACTTTTGATGTTTTGACTACAATAGCATGAGAGCAAAAAACATTTCAAAGAAAATGTAGTTTGAATTTTGGACTTTGATCTCCTGCGCTGCGCTAGGTAACAAAGTCCCATCTCATGGTGCTGGACAGTGCCAGTGATCCCAGCGTCCGGTCAGCCCTGAAACTGTGAGTGAACTGTGGGTGCTTTATAGTGTGCCGTGCAGCTAACCATAGTGGTCAGTGTTTTCAAAGCATTTTGAATTTATTATATTTTCAATTTATGATAGATTCATTGAGAATAATGCCATCTTAAATTGGCAAGCACCTGCAGTTGAAATATTAATCCAAGCTGATTGTTTTTAACTGAAACATTTATCCAATTATATTTGACATAAATATTCCATATTAGATGTTTTCAATACGTGTCACCAATTCTACTTTATCTCTCCATTCTTGCCTTCTTTCAGCTTACTAAGTTGTTATAGTACACTTTTAAATATTGTTTATAAGTTACATGATTCTAGCTCTTTTAGTCATTGCCACAAAAATTACAGCATGCACAATTAATTTACTGAAGTCTTCAGTAAATGAAAACCTCTCTCTCCTTTTGCAGAATATGTAGATATTAGGAAATGAAAATCTTCTTACTTCCATTTGTACTTAGCTTGTTATTGTCAGGAATTCTAAAACTATCTTTTGATTTATTCATATAATAAATTTCCCCATTTATTTGCTCCAAGAGATCTTTATTGGTTCTTAATTTGAGCTTCAGTACTAAATATGGATTACAAATTGATGTTAAAGATTGTTCTTTCTTCTCCTCCACATGGTTACCACTGTTAATTCAGCTGTCCATTAAACTGCTCTTCTTGTGAAGGTAATCTCTTTTTTCTCTGGTGTTGCTCAGAGTTTCTCCTTGTCTTTGGTTTTCTTTGACTTAGTTTAACCTGATACAAACTCAATGTGAGGATATTCTCCTATAAACCTTCCCGACCTAGGCAGGGCCAGAGTCTGGACTTTCATTTCTAGGGCCACATGCAAGACTACAAGCCCAAAAATCATATTTTCAATATAAGCAAATGACCTTTGGGAGTTTTGTCATTTCATCTTAGATCTTCTGCTTAAGTCTCTGAGTTCATACTTTCCCCAAACTTGTAGCCTGTTTAGTTTCCATTTTCCTTTCAGGTTTTCTATGCTTTTTGAGTGGAGGCTTTTCCTCTATCATTTTCCCCCCAGAGGATTTTATTGCTTTCAACCTGAAGCTCGATCAGAATGATTCAGCCTGTCATAATCACAGTAATAGCAAATTCCCTATGATGACTGTTACCACTATGTATATCTAAAATGTACCAATAAATGTTTTGCTTCAAAAACAAAGAACAAAGAAAAAAACCAAAGTAATAATTACAGCTCAACTGACAGTACTGAAAATGAGGTTTGGAGAGTTGATGTTTGGGATCAGTCCCTCTAGTATTACCTCGGTATTTCTTCACTCCTTTCCCGTGTACACTTTAAAGTTCAGGAATTAACAGTGCCATTTCGCTAAGCTTAGGTGGTGCTGTAGACTCTTTCATAGTGTTTGTGTTAGCACTTAAAGACCTTAATTAGTTCAGCCTTAGAGAAAGGGACGTATGGGTTCTGTCTTCAGCCTACCCTCTCAACACAGGGCTAACCTTGCACCAAGATTTGGAGGACAAGATGGTGTAAGCCAGATGAGAGTAAGGTGATGTGCCTTCCAGGAGGAAGATTTGAAACTACAAGGACACTGTGCAATGAACCAGCATGGGAGGTTTAAGGAAAGGAGAGCCAAGACGAGAAGATGGATGAGTGGGTACCAGGCAGATTAGGAAGGACTTCAGGGGTGAGAGGAGGAGGTGCTTGCTGTGTGTTGTTTACAGCCAGGGAGTCATGAATTAACACGAGCAGGAAAGAGTCTGGCTTGGCCCTTTGGCTGCTAGCCAGCCTCTCTGGGTCTCATGAATGAGATGAGGAAGGAAATGGAGCAGAAGAGATATGTTGGAAGGACTGACAGATAAAGGTGGGGTGGAGAAGTGACAGAAGACAGAAGATGCCACATCATAGATTAAATCCCAGTCTTTCCTGGGGAGGCTTTGAAGAGTTCTGGGGAGGGCAGAGATGCCAGTATGCTGCTGCCATGTTCTCTGCACCTGGCCACCCAGCTCAGGAAGACTCGCCCATGGGAGCTTTCTGGTGAAGGGGACACCAAGCTCACCCCCTGACAGGACCTCTGTTGATTGATTTCCATGTATTGTTTATTTAATGCAAATAACAGCCTTAGGTGGGACACACGATCTCAGATTCACAGGATGGGAAACCAAGGCACAGAAAGATGAAGTGAATTGCTTAAGAACAATGCCTTAGAAAGTCCTGGGAGTTGGGGGTTTGAACCCAAGTCTCTCTAATCCCATCAGCAGTCCTTCTGGAATGCTCTTAGCAGTAAAGTTGACACTGTCACAAGAGCTCTTCACGTGGCAACAGTTAGTCCCTGACTCCCCCTTTCCCTTAGACAGGCTGTGCATCTTCCTGCCAGGGTGGATCCATGGGTGGGTCTTCACTTGCTTGTCTTGATGTCTGAGTACTCTGTGCTCCTTGTGGCCTTGTAGTTCTGAGGCTCTTGTGACTTCACCTCACAAAACTTCATCTCCCGAAAGCTGAGAGAAGCATAATGGACTTCCTGTTGTTCCCCTTGGGGCAAGGCATCCCCAACAGGGGGCGCTTTAGTTTGAGGGTTGTCCGGCCAGGGCTTCTGCTTGGAACTCTAAGGGGAGAGACAGCGGTCACAGCAGGAGCATAGAGTCACGCGTGCTGTGAATTCTTAAAGCGAAGTCATAGTTTTTGTTGCCTCAGCATCTGTTTTGAGTATAAGTCAAACTTTCTCATCCTTGACAGTTTCTGGCCTCCCATCTCCTCCCAGTTCCTCAGGTGATTACTCTGGATATCTGCCTTATAAACCACCTCCTGGTGCCCACTTCCTCATGGGACAGCGAGATATAACTTACTTGACTTAACCCTTTGGCCACCACATCCCACATGGGCTGTGCAGTATCTGCTTCTCAGTCACAGTACAACTCCACAGAGTTCCAGTTGTTTGCTCTAAACTCACCCATTAGAACTCCCCAAGGGAAACCTCGGATTACACCCTGGACCCCAATAAAGGCTTTACTCTTCATGACCTCCCATTACCCCTCCTTCCCATGGGTCCTGTGAAGCATGCTGCCCTGTTCTCCCTGGGGTCTGTAAGTAACAACAGTGCTGCAGTTGCCTTCTCTGTGTTTCACCCGACCAACATACCCGAACCTAACTTCTTTCCTGGTCAGGGCTCTCCCAGAGAGAGCTAACTTGGTAGGAATGGAATGGACACTGACTAGATGAGACAGTGGGCATCTGGTAACATGAACATGTTCCCTGTGAGAGGGACCCTGGTCATGGTTTGGAATTTGGCACTAGGCTTCTATGGAAAGTTGTTTATAAATCTCCATACATTAGGAACTTTTTAATGCCAAGGAATCTAAGATTCAAAGAAGAATTCACATTTGGGTTTTAACAGTATCTAGAAGTGAATGATATTAAAGTAACACAAATAAAAATCTGCAGAATGGATGAGTTGGAGATGCATCTCAGTGGTAGAGTGGTTGCCTAGAATGCACAAGGCCCTGGGTTTGATCTCCTGTACAACAAAACAACCAACTGAACAAAAAAACTTTTGAAATGGAGCTAAAGTGGTATTCTGAGAGAAATGTATCCATAGTTACTTTCATAAAGAAGAAAGCTATACATTAATAAGCTGAATATGCAATTTTAAAAGTCTGTAAGAAAACATTAGAATTAAAGCAAACAGAAGATGCTGAGAAAATGCAAATAAAAATAAGTACAATAGAAAACAAAGATAAAGTGAAAAAAAAACAACATTCTTAAAGTTGGTTCTTTGAAACTGATAATGAAATAGAAAAACAATTAACAAGATTTACCTAGAAAAAATAGGGAAGTGACTAATGTCAGGAATATAAAAGAAGTACCCTCAACTAAAATAGTAAAAAGAAAAGAGAACATCATTCATAACCTTTTGATAAAAAATTAGAAAACTTAAGTGAAATGACCAAATCCTCAAGAAAAAGATCACAAAAGAACACATAAAATGATTGCACTAGAAAATTGCACATAGAAACAACACCAGGCCCTGATGGTTTGTAAGTGATATCTATTAGTCATTCAAGAAACAAGCCATTCCAATTTTAAACATGCTCTTCCAGATAATAGAAAAATTAGAAATAATTTCTACTTCCTTTATATTATCTTGATGCCCAAAGTTAACAGGAGAAAGGAAAAGGATGTAGATGCAAAACTGTAAAGCAAAAGTTTGTCAAATTGAATCTATCAAAGTATCAAAAATATATATACCATGAATATTTTGATTCTTCCAGGAAACCTAGAAATAGCTTCATCTTAGAACATCTTTGCCATTAATGAAGGTTACAGATGAAGGTTAAAGGTTGAAAAATCCTATCAATAGATTCATTTGAAAAGTTCAACATAAGTTTATGATAAAAACTTTAAGTGATTTGGTGATAGAAAGGAACTATTTTAAGGTAATGAGAGCAAGCAAAAAACAAGCACAAAAACTTTAACTGGCAGGTTGAGTGCATTTCTTTCAGAACGGGAGTAATAAAAGATGCTCATGGTCACATTTTGACTAGAATCTTGGCCAGAATAGTAGAACAAGAAAAAGGAATGATGTGCTTAGATTATAAACAAGGAAGAAATAAATTGTTATAATTTTTCAGATGATATAATCATCTAATTTGAAATTTCAAGAATCTAAATAATTCCCAAGACCAATATGTAATATTTTTAAATTTTAAATTATTAAAAATACTTCAATTTCTGTATATACATTATTTAAAAATATAATTTGAGTTTCATGTGTTGTATCTGAGAGGATGAAGATGATTTTCAGCACCCAGAGGATGGACACCCCAGCAGGAGTGGTGTTACCGTGGAGAGGTGCACAGCTACTGCGAAGGGCCTGACGAGCCCGCAGGCAAGCTGACCACAGCTTCTGGAAGGGAAGGAGAGGCGCTGTGTGGAAATGAACGGAAGTGGCCGCTGTTGAAAGGAGCTGGAGCTGAGTGCTGCCTGCAGCCGGAGGTGTTGCGGAGACTTCTGGTGCGGTGGGGGCTGGGTTTATGCGTGTCCTCACTTCCCCACCAGAGTGAGTACTCAGAAGTGAGTCGTGTCCTCACTTCCCCACCAGAGTGAGTACTCAGAAGTGAGTCGTGGGTAGAAATCTGCATCCTCTTAGAAGAAAAAGACACACGGTGTGTAGGAGGCTGGGTGGCTTTTTGCTCAGTGCTTGAAGCCCAGAAGGATGTGTTAATTATTGACAGAACTAACATTACACTTCAACTGCTTCGATTCAGCAAATAATTACACTTACAAATCTAAAAATGCAAATTTGGGGGATATTATCTATATCTCTAAAAAAAGAACAGGCCAGTAGGCTTAGGATTCCCTAAGAATTCCTCAACTACCAAAGCAGCAAAGATTCTAAATGACACCCCATACCAACTTGTGATATTTGTCAATTGCCTAAACCCCTGTACTTCAAAAAAATGCTTTCATTCTGCATTGCAGCAATAAGCAATAAGAAAATGCATCTTTGAAAAGACAGCAGTTAAAACAGCAACAAACAACAGTACTTATGGAGAAAATTAAAAATTTGGAAAATCTACATGAAGAAATCCTACAACTTTCTTGAAAACACTAAAAGAGACTTAGACAAATAAGAATCTGTTTCCGTGAATAAGACTTGAATTTACAACGAGCAGATTTTTCCCAAAGTGAGATATAGACTCAGTGCGATTCCAATCGAAACACTGATGGGAATATTTTTTGAAATTTGACAAACTGATTCTAACATTGAAATGAAAGGACAAGGGGCCAAGAATAGCCAAGGCTCTATTGAAAGAGATCAGTGGTGGGTCCTGCCCTCTTAGATATCAGAACTTTAAAAAAAGTTTATAGACTAATGAATCTGTAGATGGTTCTGACTCAGAGACAGTAAAATTGGCCATTGTAGTAGAATAGAAGCCACTAAAAGAGACTCACACATGTAGAGAATGTCAGTATGTGAGAGAAGTGTCTTAGTTGATCCCTGGAGGCTGGTGGCAGGGGCTTATCAAAAAATGAAGGAGAAATGGATGGATCAGCACTGCATACTACACACAAGAACCAATTCACGTTGATGAAGTACTTAATATAAAAAGGAAAATACAAATATTTTAGTAGAATCTATACAGGAATATACTTCTAATCTTAGGATGGGAAAGATATTCTTCAATGAGTCCTCAGAGATGCTCAGTAGGAAAATGAAGATCAGAATAGTGGTTATGGGAGATGGACCAAGGAGCGCCGCAGGTGGATACTATAAGTAGTTATCAGTGTTTTGGTCTTAAATTGGATGGTGGAAGCAGTTGTTTGTCATGCTATGAATAAAAACGAGCAAGTAAAGGTGAACAGTACTTGTGCCAGGGATAGAAGGGTGATGAAGAACCAAGCACCTTGGGTAATTCCATTCAAGGCAACATGGGTCCAGTTTTATAAAAGAAGAGGAGAGTTGTGCTGGACAGGAACAGAGTGGGAAAGACTGAAGAAAACCAGACCCAGTCCTCAAGAGCTTTTCAAGTGTGATGCGACGGTGGAGACAGGTAAATGTACCTGAGGAGCCCATCGGCACAGGGGTGCATGTGAGGCTGTGAGCACATAGAAGGGGGAGGGATCAATGCCAGTGGGAGAGAGATGGCCAAGTTTTCCCAGGGTGGGAGAGAAGAGATGAGATGAGATGAGCTGAGGAGGGTTAGACGAGGCGGGGTGGTGAAGGAGGGAAGAAAGTACATTTCGGAGGAAGGAACTGTCCATGCAAAGGCCCGAAGCTGTGAGAAGAGGGGTCCGTGTGGAGGGGGTGAGAAGATCGATGTGGCCGGTCCTCGGGGCAGGGAACAGTCTGGATGCCACCAGACGATGAGCCACAGAATGAGGACTCGGCTCTCTGAGTACTGGGATCAAGCAACTGCCCTGAGACTCCGGGTTGGCTGGAACCCAGTGCTCCGGGGAAGGTGGACTGGCAGGCTTGGCCCAGGGTGGGAAATGGAGGCAGGGATGTGAGGTGGACTCTGGTCACTTGGGGTAGGATAGGAGGATGAACAGAGGACCAGGCAGGTTTATTTAGAAGGAGGGCTGCACCATATGTAGTGATTTATTGGCTCTGGGAGATGAAGGGCAGAGCGGGAGAGAAGGGAGTCCCACGTGAGCAGGGAGGAATGGATTTGGGAAAATGTCCAGGAGCTCCATCTGAACTTGCCAAATGGACTGAAAAGGGGCCCCTATGCACGGCAGGGCTTCCACATGACTCACCCAGGTGACTGTACCCATGACATGGTCCTCGTCGTCCATTCTCTTTGGTCTTCCAGCTGCTTGAGTCCTCCGGGCCTTCATGCTAAGGGAAGAGAGCAACACGCTGAAATGAGCAGGGCTCAGGCATCATGAGTAGGCTGCCCTAGCCCCTGATAAGAGGGCAAAAATGGTAACGGGTATCCAGGCCTTGGAACCCAACTCAGAGGCCTTCTTGACATGTGAGAGAGGACTCTACCTTCCTGGATAACCTGACTTTCCTTCACTAAAGATCTCTCTTGCATACAAAACTTGCACACATGTGCTACACATGGAGGGACCTGGAAGACATGATGCTGAGTGAAAGCAGCCAGGCATGAGGACACACCCCGCACGATTTCATTTTCAGGAAACATCCAGAACAAGCCAAGCTAGAGAGAAGAGACTGGGCTGGGGCTGGGGAAACAGGGCACATGACAGCTGAGCGATGAAGGGTTTCTTTTTCATTTGAGGCTAATGAAAAAGTTCTAAAATCATTGTGGTAATGGGATCATGACTGTATATACCAAAAGTTATTGAGTTATTGTGCAGTGTGTGCAGTATTTCTTAATAAATCTGTCAGGAGAAACAAGAGACCCCACCAGATATATTCACCTCTACATTCCTGGAATTCAGCGAGCTTTCTCCTCTGCCCTACCACACACCTCCACACCCCTGTGGTGAATTCTTATAATTCTATTTGTCTTGGGCATCCAGTGTGAGTGTGTTGTACTTTCTTGCATTGGAAGCAGGCTTGGCCACCTCGACACAGTTTCCAGTTCTCCATCACCACAAGTTCCTCGGTGTTCATCCAGATATCTGCCTTGTATACTTTCCTCCTGGTAACTACCGCCCTGTGGCACAGCCACATTGGGCATATCTGAGTGGCCCTGCTGACTGCCGTATGCTTAGACTGTGTTGAGTGGCTGTAGGGGCCTCCTCCTCCATCAAAGTGTGACTTCTTTGATCTCACACCCGCCTGCTTTAAATCACCAATCCTTGCGAATTTCCTGTTTGGAAAATGCCCTGGATCTCAATAAAGGCTTTGTCCCAGGGCTCCCTCCCTCGCTTGCTCTCTCCACATGCTTCCTGACCTCCCATGCATGGCTCCCAGTCCCTGTGAGAAATGCAATCTTTATTTCCATCAGTGTCTTCTCTAATCATCAGAGGGACACTATCATAAGATCCTTAATCACAATGCTTCTGCTGGGGCCAAGACTCACATGCAAAAGAAGATGAGGCACAGACATAGACAGAGCAGGGCCATGGCACCAGCACCTCCCAGGGCTCCAACCATGGCTCCTGCCATCGGTTCCAATTTCCCTGGGGAAGAGAGGGCAGTGAGAGGACTTGCTCTCAGGACTCAGTCTCTTGTCATCTTGCCCCTTTGTGAGCTTTGCTCCAAACCCCTGCTCACTCGGGCAAAGGAGGACCCTGTCTTCCCAGACAGCTTGGTCTCGACTCCAGCCCTACTCCCGGCCCATCCATCCCTCTGAGATCCACGCATCTCCCCTTAGCTGCCCCCCTTCTTCCCCCACTACTTTCCCTCCAGAACTGGGGCCTCACCTGGCAGCAGCAGGACAGTGACACTCTGGGTCCCATGGGCATTCCAGGCCTCACAGCTGAGCCTGAGGCTTCGGCTCGGTCCCCTGAGGAGATGCAGGGAGCTGTTGGCCCAGGGCCCGGCCCAGCTGGAGGTGACCGTGAGGGAGGCGTTGCTGCTGTTCCCCTCCAGCAGCCCCTCCCCGAGCCGCCAGTGCAGGGACGGGACAGGCCGGGCACGGGAGGAGCAGCTGCAGTGCAGACCCTTGGCCTCCCAGGAGCACCAGGGGCCCTGCAGCTGGGGGGCATCTGTGGGAGGGAGAGGAGGGTCACAGGTGCCATCTGCTCCAGGATCCAGGTGTCCTGCCCCTGGTGTTCCCACACTCACAGAGCATGGAGAGGCTCACAGAGGCATTTTGGGAGCCCCGTGTATTCAGAGCTTGGCAGGTGAAGCCTCCTCTTTCTGCAGTCCCTACACGAGACAGTTCCAGGACCCCAGTATTGGAGATGAGGGAGGTATTCAGGTCAGGGGATCCCCAGAACCATCTCACTTGGGCAGAGGGGTAGCTGTCCGCAGCACAGGTCAGCTGTAGAGCCTGGGTCTCCAGGATGGAAAGGGATGAGGCATTTGGTAAAATCTGGAGGACTTTGGGGAAGGGGGTGGGGAGAGAGAGAACATGAATGCACAGGAGGGGCTGTGGTTCACCTCTTCCTGAGGTTTGATGCCCCTCCCTCTTCTCTCCTCCCTTGGCCCATCCTGGATTGTTTTCCTCTTGGTTCTCAAAGACTGAGCCTTTACACCTGCAGGATGTTGATCAAAAGACTGAGCTTTGCATCTTCAGAGGAGGCTCAATCTCACTGGGACATGCCTGGACTGTGTGGGACACAGAAAACGGAGGCACAGTGGCTGTGCAAGACAGTTTTAGTCATGGTGGGAAATAAGACTAAGGTAGCCAGAGCAGAGAGGCAGGAGGACCACACAGCCAAGCCATGCAGAGGTGATGTAGGCATGGATTTGGGCTCAGTGACCCTGGTAAGAAAATGGGTCATTGGGCCAGGGATTTAGCTCAGTGGTTCTGCTACCTGCCTTGCAAGCAAAAAGACCTGAGTTTGATCCCCAGTTCCAAAAAAAAAAAAAATGAAAACGGATCATGGAAGAGGCAGGGGTTGGTCTATTCCACAGCCTGCTCCTCTCTGCAGCAGAGTAGGGTCTGTGGGTCTGGGCGTGTACACATGCATGTGCACATGGGATGTGCAGGAGGCGGGGGCAGGGATTTAGCTCAGTGGTTCTGCTACCTGCCTTGCAAGCAAAAAGACCTGAGTTTGATCCCCAGTTCCAAAAAAAAAAAAAAAGAAAACGGATCATGGAAGAGGTGGGGGATGGGTAAGTCCACAGCCTGCTCCTCTCTGCAGCAGAGTAGGGTCTGTGGGTCTGGGCGTGTACACATGCATGTGCACATGGGATGTGCAGGAGGCGGGGGCAGAGGGCGATGATCCTTGTGCCTCTTCCTCCACTGTCTGCCTCATTCAAGCTCTGACTCCCCAATGCCACTCAAGGGGTCCCAGGATGAGAGAGCAGGCGCATTCCTACCTGTGCCGTTTCTGAAGTAGAGGCTGATGCTGAGGTTCTGTGGAGCATCTGGGGAGAAAGACGCAGCCTCACCTCAGAGTAGCAGTGGGATGGGATGGGACAGCCCGGGAGGCACACAGGGAGGTCATGGAAATGGAAATTGGGAGTGTTGTGCTTTGACTCTCTCCCCACCAGAAAAGCAGAGCTCAGTCCATACAGTTTTCTCAGGTCATTGTTCTCTCTGTCTCTCTCTCTCTCTCTCACACACACACACACACACACACACAGAGTTCACACTGCTCTTGGGGACCCAGCAGTCCCCCCATCACTCACAGGAGACACTGAGCCTGATGGTCCTCTCCGTGGTCACCTGAGCTCCTCCGAGTTGCACCTGGCAGGTGAGGTTGGTGTCGT